TTCCCGGCCACCTGCCACGCATGGTCACAGACACAGCAGAGGAGATCCTGATTTCTTGCATGCCTGGGTTAAACCCATGCTTCCCTCCCCCAGGTCAGCAGAGTTATTCCATATTTACATCAGCAGAGTGTATTTACATATTCCATATTCACTCCAGCTCAGCATCCAGCCCATCAGCCCCCTCTGAGTGTGAAGAAAGTGGGTACCGTAGTCTCGCTCCTGCCGGCGCTTTTGTGCGTGCTGCCGTGCTGCAGCGGCAATCTTCAGCTCCAGCTGCTTCCTCTTCACTGAGTCTGTCGGCATAGGGTCACTGAAGTGCGGTCGCAGCCGGCACTCCCGCTGGGCCTTGGCACCATCCGTGCTCTCATGGACAATGTCGGAGCTGGATCGGCGGCAGCCAGGACTGGGAGTCTGCAAGAAAGGCAAGCGGGTTTGGAGCAAGGTGGTGGTCAAAGCAGCACCTGGTTTGCAGCCACTGAACTTAAGTTGCAAAAGAAGAGAAAAGGAAATTCATCAGCAATGGGATTGCAAAGCAGGTCTGCTGCATCATCATTCAGAAATCTGTCTGCCCAGGTCCTTCTGTCCTTCTTAGACCTAGCAGCAAGACCCCTTGCATGAAAGCCATGAAGGGGTTACTGCTGAACTGCCTACAAGAGCTGCAGCAGCAGATAGACAGAGGCATAAAACTGACTCCTGTTTCAGTAACTATAAGGCACTAGAAATGCTTCTAAAGGAGTTTAATTGCTCAGGGGAGTTGGTGTGATTTCAGATCCCGGGTTCCCACCCTGCCTAGAGCCTAAAACAAAGGAATCCTTTATAGCTTCTAACAAGAAACAAAATCCTGAATACAAGCCCAAGACGAGAGGGTAATTTCTCTCCCTTACGTTCCCTGCAGGTGGAGTGTCGCTGGATGTCTCCTTGCTTGGATTATCCTCCCAGGCCTCTGTTGCCATGGACATTGCTGTGGGCTGCTGGCTCTCCTCCGGAGCTGGGAGATCAGCTTCCCTCAGATCACACTGTCCCTTGGAGGGGGATTTGGCAGCAGTCTCAGCATTGCAGCTGCAAGGGAAGAGGCAGACTCTGATGAACATCACGTATGCAGTTCACCTGCTGTTCCTGACAGATGAGACTGAGCAGCAAGTCCAGGTTCAAACAACCAGCCACAACAGTAAAGTGAAAGTGCAGGCAGGAACGCAGAGCAGTCAACAGGGATGGCTGTGCATGCGTTTCAGGGGCTCTAAACACAGCTCAATACAGCAGTGCAAACTGGGTAATTACACTCATGCCAGCATTAGTTTGGGATATCAAGTCTTGGGTGTTCACAGGGCATTTTTGTGTCAATAAAACATGTGCTTCTCCCATAAGGACCAGAAAAAACTCTTTATAAGTAGGCCATATCCATATTTGCTGCTATTTAAAGAGATTCCATCAACACAGAAACCACGTTGCTCATCTGGAAGAAAATCACCTGCTAAAAAATGGTAATACTTTGAAGAGCTTAGAGGATTAAAGGAGCTTTCTCTGTGTTTTTCATCTCATATGATCCCAAGACCACTTAAATTACTGGAAAGATTCCCTCTGCTTTCAGGATAAGGCCTTTTGGTGCACTTAAGTCTTGAAAAGATTGGCAGTCTGTTGTCCTCTCTTGGCATTTCTGAGATGCTCTTATTCACAGCTGCCTGGTGCTAACAAGGGCCTGGCCTGGCTGGTACAGACAGCCTGCTTCAACCCCACCTTCCCCTCTCTGTAGACAAAACTACCATGCCAGACATAGTCTGGTGCAAAACCACGGACTTGACTGAGAAGTTGACAGGCTGTAGCGTGTGATACTACTTGTGATACGTTTTTTTCTTTAACAGACTCTCTAAGACATCTTACTTCCATGCATAATGAAGCCTGTTTGGAAGAATATTATTTTTTTTCATGTGAGATTTTTATGTCCTTGGATTCCTTTAAAAAGAAAGGTTGTGAGGACTGGATATGGATGCTTGTACATACAGGAAGCCAATGTCTGGAAAATATTTCAGGTTATGCCTTGACAAAAGCCTCCTATGATCAAAATCTGCTTCTTCAAGGCTTCAGTTGTGAACTTACGCTAGTAGGTCATAATACTAATGTGCAATTCCAACACTGTCAGCTCCAAGCAAACACAAGAGACAGATGGCCATTTTCCTTACAATGAATGGCAGTTGGCTCCAATAACAAACCATCAGCCAATACTGAAATCGCTGAAGAGGGAACAAATCTCCCAGAACACAACTTAGTTGTATTGTCAGGCCAAAAAAGTTGGTTTGCAACTTTCCAGTTGATGCTTTTTCATGTTCCTCCACTTAGGCTTTCAAGTCCCAGCTGACACTACCACAGGATTTATCAACTTAAAAACAGTTTAGCTGCAGCTGAGCAGCAACAGCACAGTGCTAACAGCAGGCTCCGGGCTTTTACTTTTTGCTGCACTAATTCCCTGCCACATGGATTTGGAAGTGTCATTTCACCCCTCCAGGCCTCTTCTCTCTACCCTGTAGAAAGGGGAAACGAACACGAGTGCTGTCACGAAGCAGTCAGTCTGCAGCTGGGACTGCATTAGTCCCCTTCCAGGGTTGCAGTAAGAGCAGTGCGGGCACACAACAAGGCTACAGTCCCACCAGGGTACTGTCCTGGCCTCGTCCAGCTTAAGAGGTTTCTGTCTCTTCCTTCTCTCCTGTCCCCAGGAGACAACTCCTTCAGGTGCTCAAGTATACCTGTTTGTGTGGCCATGATCTAAAATCAGTCTTGAAATGATTTGGGTTTAAAAAAATATCCTCCCTCATGTATTCCCAGCCAGATCATTTCATCCATGTTTCACTGAGTTGGGTAAAGTATGTGTAGTTCAGCTAGGCATGCCTCTGGGATGGCAGGCAGAGGTTAAGGAGCAAGAAAGCTCTTAAAGAGGATCTGCCACTGCAGGAAAACCACCACTTTCAAAAGCTGCTGCTGCTCATAGAGCTTCTGGTTGAAACATGCAGGAAAAACAGACCATACTGAGGCACTGAGAGGCGATGGGATATGTCCAAGGTCAGTAGCAGAGCTCAGAACTGGAGTATTCTCTTCTTGATCACACCACCTCCCACCACACAAACCATACTCTGAGAGAGAAGCTAAGGTTCCATTTGTCATTTTCATAGCGCTTCAAGATCATCCACTTATCCATGGAAAATACTCGAGTACTACTGCTCCTCTAAGTGAAGCTGACAGAGGCTCTCTGCTGATGAGAGATGCCATTGCTTATTGTGGTTTCCATAACAAACAGAGGTAATTAAAAAAACCCACAAACATGACTGATCTGCAATGGGAATAAAAGCCAATACTACCCAGAATGCTGAGCTAAGGAAGTGTGACTGGAGACTGAGAAATTCAACCCATCTTGTGGTTGCTCAGCTAAAGGTAAGAAAGGCAATGACGCAGAGCCCACACCGTGTGAACGGAGACTTCCTCATCCGTGGCCTGACCGCTCTACTTGTAGTTGTGATTAGATCCCTCCTGCATGACACACTGGCCATGCAGCACTGCGGCAAGTGCTGTTCCACAAAGCAGTCGCTGTGCACCGCCAGCGTGATCAGAGGGACACAGGCAAACCAGGGAGGATACAAGCAGCTTTGTATCTTAGGGGTGCTCCTTTAACCCTTGCCCCCAACTTAGGAGGACCAGGGAACATCGCCAAGAAAACAGTATATTGTCCCTTCCTCCAGTTCCCCTCATGCCAGCAGGGATCTGGGCTGCCAGCAGGTCCACATCAATGCCTGCTCAAGCACTCCCCTCTGCCCTCACACAAGCTGCAGAAGAGGTGACTCTAGCATGTTTTCTTCTGTGGGATCAAATCACTTATTGGGGCAGGAGTTTTATGGCTAGGGTTGGTGTCAGTTTTCCCTATTCTCTCCAATACAGATGACATGCTTGGGCCAGGAAGGACAGGTCCTTTCTGTACGTCCTTTTAAACCTCTCGGCCATCACCTCTGAATATCATGGAAGGAGAGACGCTAGGGGTGTGGTGTACAACTGGAAATGCTCCTGATATCCTTCACAGTCTTCATTGGCCTCTTCATGGCTGTATCATTGTCCAGAGCAACAGTTCTCAGCCCTTTCCACACGTTCCTGGCTCTTCCTGACTAATTTTTGTCCACTCCCTCCCTGCTGGCACCTGCCTTCCAGACTTGAGAGTCCTTTGCTATGGGAAGGTGTTATGGAAGCCACCATCCCGATGTTATCCTAAATACACCCCATCACTCTTTTCAGGAAGCCTTCTTTCTTAGTCATGTCCTTTGCTTCCCTGTGCAGGTTTTTGTCATCACCTGGTCTTCCATTTCACAGAAAGGAACTCCAAGTGTTTGCATGTCCTTATTCTGAGCAATTTGCTGCTTAAACCATTTCAGAAAGTGGACTATATATCAAAATGCCCAGAGGATTTCCACCTAGATCTCCACACCCCCTCCCAGCCAGGACTACAACCTAAGTTGAAAGTATCCAGCGACCTGTGAGGGGACTAAAGCTGCCATCATTATGAAGATGAAAACAAATGTTTACTGATGAAATATTAAGCCATTTGAATGAGTCAAGTAATTAACTATTAATTCCTAGGGAGCCAATTAACAGACCAGGCAAGACTGCTTTGTAAAACTATAACACATCGAATCACTAGAAAGAGAAGATAATTTCAGCTGTCTTACTCTGTGGTGCTCCACTGCATCTCTCTCAAAGGCTTGCTGAGCTCAGTTATCTGTGGAAATGGGACCAAATCCCCAGCTTTCAGATCATTTCACTTGACACTTAGAAAAAACGTGGCCTGGATATCAGTGATCATTATTTAGGACCCAAAACATCCAGACAAAAAGTCTCCCACCTCTGCAGTGAGAATCAGCTTAGGTTATAAAAGAATATTCAGGCACATTACAGTCTCATGTGAAAATGATAGAAAACTGAGAAATTTCCAGACAAAGGAAACTGGAGTTTCCCACTAACCAGTATTTTGGCACTGCCAACTGATTTGTTTTCCTCTTGCTATCCTGAAGAAATTACAATATTTACCATTAATTGCTATCACTATGGAAAATAAACAGGCCAGGGTGGTTCCTTCCCATGAAAAAACCTCTCTAATACTGAAACCACTGTCATACTAATTTTTAAATCAATTATCATTTTGGTGTTAATACAGTCACCTCATATGTTTTAACAAATCCAACCAGGAAGACTGAACACATTCACAGAAACAAAACCACTGTGGCTATTACAAGTATAGAAACAACACTGAAATTATACAGGCCCTGGGCACAAAGTTTTTGGAGGCTGGGAGAGTAGTGAGAAGAAAGATCATACACGCTGCCTATTTCCTGTGCAATTTGCTATGGACAGACCTTGAGCTCCAGATACTAGTCAAACCTTTGATCTGCCCAGAGACAGCTGTTCTTATGCACTTACTCACAGCTTGTGCCATTCTGTGTACTTCATTTCATATCAATGATAAAAATAGTCTTCTCAATGAAAATGGCTGCATTCTGTAACTGTCTCATCTATTTCTTCAGTTGGGTTTTCATACTCGAGAACAAAAGTATGACAGCTAAAGGAATAATTCAGTGTTTTGACACCACCTTTGTATTATAAAGTTGCAGAAGTATTTCTGCTCGTAACTCTCTACACAGGGAGCTTCAGCTCCACAGAAGTTCTTTCGGATGACTCTCATTCCTGTGCAGAAGTCACTACCATCTCTAAGACCAAAGACCAGTCTGAGAGCTCCAGCATTCCAAAAACACCAAGCCAGCGTACAAGGTTGATGCCCTGGCATCTCACACACCACATCTGTGGAGATCAGAAGCAGCAAGGAATGTAGTCAAATATAATTCCTGGCAAAGCCAGTCCTGAAAACCAAGTGTATGGAAACAAATCATTTCATCAACACTTACTCTTCCTTTTTCCATCAGACTTATTTAGTGATAAGACAGTGGTAACTGCTCGAAATTCCTAGCTTCCAAAACTTTGCTGATTTGTGCTGGGCCACCTGTCTGCATAGAAAGGGATTCCCATTTATTTGGCAGAAGGGAGGCAGGAAACAGGACTGCCATGTCCTAAACTAGGAAAGAAAATACAGTC